TTTAACCCATTTTTCCTTCAGCGTTACTGAATGTCAGTAACTACAATGAACATGAAACAGATGTTTTATTTACATGAAACAGATGTTTCATTACAAGTCACCATTGCAGTGTGGTTTCGCTGCAAATTGGCATATATTTAATTTTCCTAAAGCCTTGTGTGGTAGAAAAATTCGAGTGGGTCTCAAGATGTTTATAATGTTCAATAATGAAGTGAAACGAAATATATTAATGTTAGTGTCTGAGTACATGTTGTGTATGTGGAGAGAGGATGATTCATCTGAAGCAACATAGAGTTTCTGTGAAAGGTAGAGTATGATATAACATTTGAGGTTTCAAGTGTCTATCAAACCATACAAAAAAATCACGTGAACAATAATATTAATCAAACCAAATAATATTTATCTTCTATATATAATGAACTACAAAGGGTACCCGGCGGTACCCGGGTCTCTCTCTCTCCCCCTCTCCTGCAATATCACAAATTACAGCATTAGAACACTTCACACATATTCGGTTTATCAAGGATGATCAGCAGACATTAACAACACATTCATAAGTTCTCCCACAAAAAACTCCCAAACACCAAACAAAAAAACTCCCAAACGCCCAACAAAAAATTGACAGACGACCAACAATAACAAATTAAAAAAACGCACAACCAAAAAATTAAAACCGCCCAACAAAACATTTTAAAACGCAGAACAACAAAAATCCAAAACTCCCAAAATAAAAATGTCCCCCAAAAATCCAAAACGCCGAACAGAAAAAATCCAAGATGCCCAACAACAAAAAAACAAAATGCCTAAAAAAAAAAAAAGAAACCCAGAACGCAAGCAAAAAAGTGCCAAATGCCCAACGAAGAAAAATCGTTGGGCATTTGGCACTTTGTAGTGGTATTGAGAGGTGCCACAGATAAGCTAAGAGGTGTAGGATGCTGAAATGTACCCTCCTCACCTTCGTCAGTGTCCTCGGCTTCTCCTGCCGTTAGTGTAGTGGCCTTCCAGGTATGTCGACTGCCTCCCCCCCATCCCCCCCTCTCTTGCAGCAGGTGTAGTGGCCTGCCAGGTATGTGGTTTCCCCCCCTTCTCATGTGGCAGGTGTGGCGGCCTGGCAGGTGTGGCGGCCTGCCAGGTATGTGGCTCAGCCAATGTGACTACCACCTCCACCCCCGCCCTTCCTCCACACTATTCTTCTCCGAGCCCGTCGCTCCCACACTCCCTCTCCTTAACATTCACTTAAATTATTACAATTTACCCCTCAGAGCGAGCTTATTAAGAAGCGTCACTCATCCTGTGACTGACCATACCGCCATAGTGACAGTATTGGACAGCGTCACTCAAAAGATGAGTGAATATACCATTATTGCAGCATGTACAATAAATACCCTCTAATAGCATGTCAAAAAAAAAACTATTGGGATGTTCAATCAATGAACAGAACATCAAACGAGGAGATTAGCATTTGCCAACCCTCAAACTTGCGCTATCTTGCAGGTGCCAAGTGAATTTAAATTTGACAGATTGTGTTTTCCTAACTGCGGGTGTGAGTTTTTGTGGTAGAATTTTGTGTTTACCAAGGCGTTGAGTAATTTAATTCCTCCCTGTCATAATTGGGTGGTGGTCCTAGAAACAGACCGTCTCTCTGATAGGGTAATTAGGCAACTCGTACCATAAGTCTCATCTACCTGGCTAAACAAATAGGACGAGTTCCATTTAGTGGGAATTTTTTTTCCAGTTTTGGAAATAGAGTGCTTGAAACAATGGAGTAGTGTAAGCTTATCACATACTTCCTCTTAATGATTATTATCCTGTGGTATTTGGCCGCGGCGGGTTTCTAATGGAGAAAATATTGTCATTGCTGGTTTTGGCATCTTTAGTCTTAGAAAGATAAATTATTTAAAGATAATACTGCACGTCCATACCTTGAGTGGAGGGATGTACACTCATGCAGTGCTGTCCAGGTATGGGTAAAGCAGGTGGCATCTCTTTCTCTCACTGTCAAGAATAATTTGTACACGTCCAACATTCTAGTTACTTTGTTGACCAGTCATAGATCTTCAGCTTGTCATTGGTCAAGTGGAAAAATACAGACAAATTCTACCGAGTCCTGCACTGCAGTCTTCCTCCTCGTCTGTGGCGACCGCAAATGTGGCCGTGGTGGCGGCGTTGTCACCATGTTTGTGGCTTGGGTGAACCATACTCCAGCACTCACCATATTATGCAGTGTCCATCACCGTCATTATCACTTGGCTATAGTGTACGCACGAGGTGGTAGAGCTACAGGGCTGGAAATCGCCTTGTTGATTTGATTTAGCCTTCTTCTTGTTACTAACGTCGACGCTTCTGTTTACTCGAGTTACTTCAGGATCACAATTCAGGTTTTCGTCCGTTTCAAGTTATATTTCTCACATAACGTCACACTATAGCTATAGTGACATATCTCATAATTTTTGTATGACATAGTGACATATCTAGTGACATATCTTTGTCTCTAGTTTGAAAAAGATAAACTACCCTTTATATAAAGTTCACATCAGTTGCCGCTGAGGGCAATACTAACCCAACCCTCACGGTACTGTAAGGACGAAAACCTATCTATCTCACCGACTCCCCCAAACCCTTACTGCAGCAGCTTCAAACATTTGCCTTTTTAGATATTTGTCGATTTGGGGAAACGGAATCGTAGCTGTGTTCGCGATGGAAGCATTGTAAACCATCTATGATTATTTCCTGTGTTTTTGTTAGGCCACAAGATGGTATATACAGGGAAACGCGCGTCCGGGACTGTCCTCTTACGGGCTCACCATAGCCCGTGCTACATGGACACTTCGTTCTGAGTAGCTAAATCTAAAAACAACAGTCCGAGACTGATACAGAATTAAGGCAGAGTGGTGCTACGCCAACTCTTAGAGACGCACGTGATGATTTTAGCTCTTTCTTTTGGTGTAGTTCCCCCAGTATGTTTATTTCCAACCGTGTGGCGGGCTTGAGGTCATATGCACCAAGGAGTAATAATATACGCCTCAGAAATACTGCCAGCGTACTTGTGTAAAGGAGGAAATGTATATGTTTATCTCTCAGAATGTTCGGTAATATGTTTATCTCTCAGAATGTTCGGTAATATGTTTATTGTTTGTGATGTGTGGCTATGTATGTATTAGCACGATGTACTGAACGGGGTGAGAATAGCTTGAGCTACCTCATCCCTTTGTGTGTATTTTACCTCAATAAACTTATTTCAGTTTCACTGCCAGCGTTATTCAACAGGATTCATGTATAGGCGTTGATATTGTGGCATTCAATAAAGAACATGAAGGCAAAATGCATGAAAATTACACAATTATTACATTATATAACTATATATTAAAAGAGGAATACCCTTCAACATATCTCGTGCAGTATTTCAAAATCTTTCTTTAAAAATAAAGAACATATGAATCCAAGTATATACGATAAGCCAGAATATATATACGAAATCCCGGAATATATCTAACTACAACCAGCTGAAAATGTAATTGAAAACTACAGAATTAAACATATTTTTTCTCGAGTCTAATTTACAAATAAGTTTGAATTAATACAAGACTGGCAGCAAATAACTATAGCAAATATTCACAGAGGAAGCCACTGCAGGAATATCCACAAGTGAAATATCTACAGGGCAGAGGAGAACACGGAAACGCAGTAGTCTGAGGGCGTCGGCGTTCAATAAGCCAGTGTCGTCTGGGGAGGGAGGGAGGCGCAGCCAATATTGTTTCAAGATGAAGTGAATATTGCGACACTGTCACACCCCCTCCTATCCTCGGGCCAGATTCACGAAGCAGTTACGCAAATACTTACGAACGTGTACATCTTTCCTCAATCTTTGACGGCTTTTGTTACATTTAAAACAGTTTATAAGCATGAAAACTTCCCAATCAACTGTTGTTATTGTTACAAACAGCCTCCTGGTGCTTCGGAGCTCATTAACTGTTTAATAATTGTAAACAAGGCCGCCAAAGATTTAGAAAAGATGGACAGGTTCGTAAGTGTCTGCGTAACTGCTTCGTGAATCTGGCCCCTCAAGTTTAACGTCGCACTTCCCTATTAATTCTTAGTACCTTTATATCCTCCATCTCCTTGCATCCCCCCTCCATGTATTTTTTAAGTTTTTTCATTAATTTACCTTTCTATATAAAGTAAATTTTTTTTTAGTTGAACTGCATTTTTAATATATAAAAAAGTTCGAACCTACCTTAATTATTGGATGCAGCCGAAGGTGTATTTAGTAACAAGACAAGGGAGAACGAGGGGAGAAGTAGCATACGCCACTCGATCCTTTTGAACTGTACAGTATTTCATTACCTCAATAAACTTAACTTGAACTTGAACACGGGAGCGTGTTCCATTATTGTTGATATGGGACCTTCAGGCAGCTAAGTTTATCATGAAATCTGGACAGTAACAACCTTGATAATATTTCAAATCGCAGTGTATTTTTGTTCACTCACAAATACGGTTAATACTGAAATTAAATAGTGAACATTATAAATTTTGTACATATAGGTATTTAAACGGCCGTGAGGAGGTTGCGTAATACATAGGACTGGCGAAACTGTCAACAAACCCCTGACGCACTTGTCCGGATCCTCTGGTTTATCTGAGGTGGCGTTACTGCTGCTAACCGCATATTGTCTACTTTATATTGGCCAAACTGACGGGTAGATTAGTAGTACATCAAGGAAAATATTATCAGAATACAGAGAGAACGTAATAATTAGTAAACAAGTCTAGGGGATGTACACGCCGACCTCGGCAGCTGATCACGGGACGAACGAGTGAATGAAATTCTCAACACCCGTCGTGACGTCATGGCCAAACTCTACGTTCATTGGTTGCGAGAGGGGTAAAGGTTCACACACCAATCGTGACGTCACTTCCAGGACCCACGCTCATTGGTCGAGGGAGAGGGGCTGGGCTGCTCCCGGCGTCACGCCCCCGCTATTTAAAACGCGAGCTTGCACGCGCCAGCACACACATCTCCTCCATCCTCCACGGTATCTAGGCGCTGTTCCCGAGTGCGGTCTCTTCAGCCAAGTTAATCTACAACTCTACCGATGTATACCTTCAGCACCAACTCGCGGTTTCTAACGGGACTATGCACTAGTTGGACATAGTCACACGCCCCTTGTTAAACCCTAGTTATACATCAATTATCATCATCAAGCAACATCACATGGCAAGTCTACTTTTGTAAGTAGCACTTCAATAGTGATACTAGTCATCATCAACCTGTGATTATCAACCAGCAAGTATTTCATCATCAACTTCATCTACATAAAGCGGAGACCCTATTCATCATGGAGCAGTTCTTGGTTCTGGCGCAGAACCGACAGTTCCTGCCCTTCTACGGCGAGGAAGAGAGGCGCTGGAATGAGCCCTTCTTCTTCATCCAGGCGGCGGACACGCAGTTCGGGATGCAGGAGAAATACCTGGAGCAGAAGGCCGAGTACGGCTGGGAGCGGGAGATCGCCTGGTCCAGTCAGCTGGTCGACGACGTCAACGCCATGTTCCCCCGCCCCAAGTTCCTGGTGGTGTGCGGCGACCTGCTGGACGCCTGGCCTCACACGGAGCCCGAGATACGTCGCCAGCAGGAGGTGGACTTCAAGAAGGTGTTCGCGGGTCTGGAGGTGCCGCTGGTGTGCGTCTGTGGCAACCACGACGTGGGCAACACCCCGACGCCGGACTCCGTCAGCGGCTACAGGTCCTCCTTCGGCGACGACTTTTTCAGTTTCTGGTGCAGCGGTGTGTTCTTCATCGTGTTGAACACGCAGTTCTACGAGGACTCCTCCAGGTGCGAGGAGCTAGCGGCGGAGCAAGAAGAGTGGCTGGAGCAGCAACTGGAGGTGGTGAGGAGAGAGAAGCCCCAGCACGCCGTCGTCTTCCAGCACATCCCATTCTTCCTCGCCAACCCGGAGGAGGAAAAGGAATACTTCAACATGGCGCCCGCCCTCCGTCAGGTCATGCTGGACAAGTTCTACGACGCTGGCGTCGGCCACGTCTTCTGCGGCCACTACCACCGCAACGCCGGCGGCTTCTACAAGGACCTGGAGGAGGTGGTGACGTCGGCCGTGGGGGCGCAGCTGGGGGAGTGCCAGCAGGGGTTCCGGCTGGTGCGGGTGCTGGAGGACCGCCTGCTGCATCAGTACTACGCCCTGGGCACGGCGCCCACCCACGTCCACCTCCCCAACACCAAGCCCGCCGTGCCGGCCACGCCCGCCCTCCCCGCCTGGGCCCACGCCGCCGCCGCCGCCGGCCCCACCCCCACCAGGAAGTCTTTCTTCGCCCTCTAACATCGTCGTCACACTCCTCCCGTGTCTCTCTCTCTCTTCTACTGCACATTATCGCCACATTTACATATTATTCATTATCTAAAATTAGTCATAATTCATCCCACAGCCATCCCTAACCTTTTATGCCTTATATATATAACCCAAAATACAAACTGATTATATTCTGCAATATTATTGTTGAAATTTTAGACAAATATTAATTGATGATATATATTTTTATATAATCTCTTTTATTAAATAAACGGCATCTTGATTTTTTTCCAGTGACTTCTACATATCCTTGAGTGTTTTTTTATAAACATTACTAATCTTAGACTATCGTCCCGTTATCTCACTTTTATATAATATATAAACTGCGATCTGGTCTCTAAAATGCCTATTATCGCACCTTTTCAAGAGTTGCCCTTTAGGAAAGTATTAAATTAGAATAAGATGTACAATGCGAGACTTGACAACTGAAGAACAGCTGCCAGCGTCACACCTGGTGACTCGTACACTTGGCAACACAGCCTAGCATCAGTCAGAGCCCCCTTTTCTTCAATATATTCCTGCCCCGGACCTTCCTAAATCACGATTTAGATAGCGCTATTTGGTAGCATTGAGAGTGCAAGAGACGCTGATTAAAGCAGCGTCTGGGATGCTCCCGGACGCAGGTTCGAATCCTCGTCACGGCCCTTGTTGATTTGTTCAGTGCAATTTAATGTAACTTTGCAATTAATGAGGTATACAGTACAATGTATTCTGTAATCTAATAATTACCCTTTTTCTACGTGTGATGTGGGATCAAGGTATCGGTTAAACGTACAGAGAAAATATTAGGAGATTGATTGATAAAGATTATGCCAGCCAAGAGATGGCACGGGCATGAATAGCCCGTAAAGTATTAGTTAAAAAGTCATATGTAATAGAGGGTATTTTTACCTATAGACTTTCAGAATCATTGAGGAGAGTAATCTACTGTTTGGTAAAGTCCCAGTGGCCCACAATATCCTAGTGTAACGTTAATTCAATATTGAATTAACATTAATTCTTAAATATTACGTTCACTGGGATTTAGTTTGGCATAAATTAATTAAAATTTGCTGTATGGGTCTATAAGTCTGCAGTTTCCTTTAATTATTTTGTTCTTATAGAGTATAGGCCAAGAATCTACGTCGAGGAGAGCACTTAATTGTTCCCTGCAATATCTGGCTTAATTAGAATATTGTTTGTGCATTCTTTTTCCGTAATTCCCCCAAGGACAGGCGAGGCGATTCATAATCATTGCAAGAGCTCACAGGAAGATGCATCTTGTAACAGCTTAGCATTCCTCATCAAAATTACAAATCAGTCGGCCTCTTCTGAGAGTACTAACTGATACAATCATCCTGCTGTGTCTATATAATAAATATATATATATATATATATATATATATATATATATATATATATATATAATGTCGTACCTAGTAGCCAGAACGCACTTCTCTGCCTACTATGCAAGGCCCGATTTGCCTAATAAGCCAAGTTTTCATGAATTAATTGTTTTTCGACTACCTAACCTACCTAACCTAACTTTTTCGGCTACCTAACTTAACCTGACCTATAAAGATAGGTTAGGTTAGGTTAGGTAGGGTTGGTTAGGTTCGGTCATATATCTACGTTAATTTTAACTCCAATAAAAACAAATTGACCTCATACATAATGAAATGGGTAGCTTTATCATTTCATAAGAAAAGAATTAGAGAAAATATATTAATTCAGGAAAACTTGGCTTATTAGGCAAATCGGGCCTTGCATAGTAGGCTGAGAAGTGCGTTCTGGCTACTAGGTACGACATATATATATATATATATATATATATATATATATATATATATATATATATATATATATATATATATATATATATATATATATATATATATATATATAATATTACAATCACGATTAAGGCAGCGTCTAGGATCCTCTCGAACGTAGGTTCGAATCCTCGTCACGGCCCTTGTGGATTTGTTCATATATATATATATATACTGTATACGGTTTCACCGGTTTACATGGTTGCAAGTACCCTATGTTTACCTTCACTAACATATGCGAAGGTAAACTGCATTTGGTTTTTTTCATTATTATTATTACATGGCAAAATTATAATGCCTTGGCAGATTATAAGAGTTTCATAATACATTTGAAATCGGTAAAATTGCAGTGAAGATTGTTGTTGTTATAGATTCAGCTACTCGAAACAAGTTCCAAGTAGCACGGGCTATGGTGAGCCCGTAGTGGACTTACCTGGCAACAGGAATGGTGCACTGCGGCAGTGAAGAGGTCGCACAGATCTTGTGGCGACCTAGTGCTCTATTTTACCAAGAAACCCGCAAGCAGTTCCCAGACCGAGCCTAATCCAGCACTCGTTGTTGTTGTTATAGATTCAGCTACTCGGAACAAGTTCCAAGTAGCACGGGCTATGGTGAGCCCGTAACTTATCTGGCACAGGAGCGGGGCTGTGTAGACTATCAGCACTCGTTATCTGCCTTGACCTGTCAGTCCAGCCTAACCCCCTTCCCCCAGTCATCATTTCCAGTATCTGACGTCCAACGAGGTGGGAGCAAACACCCTTCGCCAGTCTTTAGGAAAACTAAATGTAAACTATTATTTGTGTACAGTATGGATTTCCCTTGAGGGACCTGAAGTAGAGGAGGGTGCAAATAGCCTGAAAGCTACTGTTTATCATTTTGAGATCTATCATTTTGTCTCAATAAATTTACTTAGGAAAACTAAGGAATACTACTGAGGGTCAACTGAACAAATCCACAAGGGCCGTGACGAGGATTCGAACCTGCGTAAGACTACTGAGAGGGTCTCGTAGTACAGTTGGCTTCGTTGTTTACTCACAATCGGAGATCCTTGGGTTAGGCTCCCGGGTGGGACAAAAATAGTTAGGTTCGTTTTCTTTCACTTAATTAATGCATCTGTTCACCTATATCAGTGAGTAGATACCCCAGGAGTTAGGCAACTGCTGTGGGAGTGCATTCTGGGGAAGGTCAGTAGTATATAACAAAAATAAAAGCCTGGAAAAAACCGCCATGCACTTCGGTCACTTCCCTAATGCAACACAAGTATCAACTTTATTTTTTCCGGGTGCAAACGTGACAGCTGAAGCATCACTTTACCCACAGCGAGCCGCTGACATTGGGAACAAGACCTTCAAGGCCACAACTTGGTAAACAGGGTTCCCAGCACGTACGTGCACAGTAAGATGTAGACACCCGTAGCCTCTCCTCCACACACGGCAGAGGCGGAACCAAATGGGCAGTTTCTTACACCCCTGATGCCTCTGTTCACCTGGCAGTAAATAGGTACCTGGGGAGTTATTGAGATAGCTACTGTGGGCTGCTGCTTCCTGGGGATATGTGTGTGTGTGGAGCGTGTATAGATTGCTTAGAAAGACGGGGTCTAAGAGCTAATAGCTCAATTCTGTAAACACAAATAATAAATACACACACACACACAGTCCAACTAATGATAAATAAATACTTGGGCAAAAAGACTCTTAACAGTATGATCAAATAAACGAAAAAGAAGTCATAAGATCCACTCTTAGCAACTGAGAGCTCAAACTTGACCTTGCAAGCACATCATCTAGGTGAATACACAGTTTTGGAATATGCGGTGCCAGTGTGGACTCCACATGGTGTTAAAACGAAGCTAGAATCTGGGATAGTCCACCAGACTAGTCCCCGAGCCGAGAGATATTTGTCAAGAGGGAAGTCTGAAAGAATTACGGGCTATTCATGCCCGTGCCACCTCTTGGCTGGCTTAATCTTTATCAATCAATCAATGAAAGAATTATCAACCACGTCGTTGACCCCAAAAAACGGGAGACATGATCATCACATATAAAATACTAAAGAAAAACATTGTTATTTTTTAAGGCTGGTGTTGGAAAAGTACCCGCATAAGCCACTGTGTATTAACAAAATAAGTTTGTGTTATAGTAGTAAATAAATGGAATAAACAGCCTCAAATTTAGATATGACTGAACGCAAAGGGCTCGGGAACCAGTCAACAATTAAACCACCTTTAAGCACGACTATAGATGAGTACAAACACACAAGCAAAGACACATGCACACATATTTCTGCCTTCTGAAATCTGAACAAAGAAGTCATTCAGAATTGTGTGTATAACATACGTTAAAACCAATCCCTGAATATGCAACACCAGCATGGAGGCTGTATCTCATCAAATATAGAACTGAGGTGAAGAAAGTGCTGAGATATATGCAACTAGATGACTACTCCCAGAGCTGAGAGGTGCAAGGAAAACAATAGATTACAGGAATTGAACTACAAATCACGATAGAAGATAATACACATCAGAGACTTGGCCACGACATATAAAATATGCGGCGAAATCGACAAGAACAAGCTATTTGACACGAAACGAAGCCATAGGGATATTAGAAAAAGCTTCTGTGATACCGGAGTAGCGATGAAATGAACCAGGGAGTAGATGACAGAGAGACGCCATACACGGTTTTAATATGGAAGCCCAAGAGAATCTGAAACATCTACACAAAGTAAATAGTCGAGTAAAGGTTAAAAAGGCAGGGGCCCAGGAGCTGAAATTTAGTGCCCAGCAACCATAGCTAGGCAAGCACACACGTACACAGACACATGTTTATTAACACGGGTGACACGAACAAGGGGACACAGGTGGAAACTTAGTACCCAAATGAGCCACAAAGACATTAGAAAGAACTTTTTCAGTGTCAGAGTAGCTCACAGATCGAATGCATTAGGCAGTGATGTGGTGGAGGCTGACTCCATACACAGTTTCAAATATAGATATGATAGAGCCCAGTAGGCTCAGGAATCTGTACACCAGTTGATTGACGGTTGAGAGGCGGGACCAAAGAGCCAGAGCTGAACCCCTGTAAGCATAACTAGGTGAGTACACACACACACACACACACACAGGGATGGGCCAGTCAGCTTCAAGTCCCGCGGCGACGGACTGGATCTAACCGGTCCTGGACGAGCCCTGCCTCACCCCCTTGCTTCTTGCCCTACTTCCCCTCCCTTCCCCCCTCATCCCCACACACACACTAAAGGACGAGGGGGTGCACGTCCAAGAGATAATAACTCGATTCTGCAGATACAAATATTAAATATAAATAGTAAACACACACACGGCTCTTACAGCAAGTCCCCCCTCCCCCCACACTCATCTGCTCTCATCCTCTCCATCTCTTCCCCCCTCTATCACCAGCCCC